CCTGCGTGGTAGAGCGGAGAATTTGTGCTGATTTATTGAGCAAGAACGACAAGACAAATTGTTCTGGAGTCCAGTGCTCTTTGTTAAAGATTTTTGCTTGTGAGTTTATTCGTCTCGCACGTATCTCAAGTCACTGGATAAACGAATCGATAGAACTATAACCGAACACTAAATATGATATGACTACGTAAATAGGTACTTCATCAAACACAGAGCTTGAACGACATTATTTGAATTGGGATAAAATTGCGGTGGGCTTAAAGTCAATTCAACACTCTCTTGTCGTTAACAGAAAACGATGCACGACTGAGTGTTGAAATTGAGTCCCTTGTTAACAACAAAAAGTGTCACGCTCTGTTTTAGCACGTTTTAGACAAAGTGGATTAAAATAAAGGACCACACCAACCTCACAGAGGCCCAATTAAAGCGACAACATACCATGAAAACATCGTTCATTAATTCATTTGCAATGACTGGATAAATCACATTGCACCTTCCATCTTTAAATATTTCACATAATATGTTAAATGCATCGCATCGCATAGAAATTCATCGATCTCTTACTTTTTACATTGACTTAAATTTTCCCACTTTTTCACCATCATCATCTATATGATGCGACTACCCCTTGAACATTATGTCTGCCCCAAGTCGTGTTTAATTGTTTATAATAGTAATATAAACTAACATTTGGGTACACATGCAAAATTTCAAGACTAAGACATAAATTAGATAAATAAAAAAAACAAAACTGCTTATATTATTTTTTTATGTAACAGGGGGCAAACGGGCAGGAGGCTCATCTGTTGTGAAGTGATACCGCCGCCCATGGACACTCTCAATGCCAGCTACGCTCATTTTTAAGGACCCTAAGTCGAATTGGTTCGAAAATACTTCATGGAGCAGCTGGTACCACATAGTGGTGGTGCGCGGCAAAAATTGCCTTAAGAAACGATCAGTACTGGAACGACGGACGTCGATGTGATGCGGGTGGAATTTCGTATTCTGCCTCGACCTCCGATGATGAAACTTAGCTACAGGTATCAATCCGAACAACTCCTCTCAACACTCTCCATGGGAAATGCTTAATTTGACTACATTTAGTCAACCCCAGTCCGAGAATCCACGTAGCAGAGTTACGACTTCAGTTACAAGTTACTCATCGACAACTACCCGAGAAATACCTGCCCGGTCAGTGTAAAGAGTATCCCCAGTGCTGTCGTCTGCAATGAATGTTGCTCAATTGCAACATATCATTCATATGCAGAAGAAACAGGGTCGGGGATAGGACACAGCCTTGTGGGACCCCAGCGTTCACGGGCTTAAAGTCGGAACATGCTCCGTCGACAACGACCTTGCTCCGATCGGCCAGAAAGCTGGAGATCCGGTCGCATAATTTCTCGGGAAGTCCGTAGGCTGGAAGCTTCGAGAGAAGTGTTACATGCTACACTCGATTGAAGGCTTTCAGTCACCCCGGTTGAGGTTAGAATTGAGCCCCATTGGTAAAGTCCACTGTGAGCGTGGAAAGGGTTGGCTTCGGTAAATTCTTCCGTTTGCCCCGAGATTGAAACCTGTCAACCACTCTCACGAAACGAGTACAATAAGATGAACCTATTGAATCACTTCAGTGAGACAGTGGTACTGCCCCGGTCGTGCCTGCCCATTTGGCTGAAGAACGAAAGCAACAGCACGACATATTTAATTTTGTTCTTTTATTAATAGTTTATTTTTCCAATATGTTTTCTCGGTTAAATTTTTATCGAAATAAGTGTAAAATAACACACCCCACTAAGCAGTGGGGTGTGTTATTTTAATTTCTATAGATTGACCTAAATCAAACGGAGCATTAATTCTCCTGAGCTTAGCTCAAACTTTTTAAGTAAAAAATTAAGAGTTTAAAAAAATGCACTGAATTCGAGTAGTAGTTGTAGGCCTTTGTACCCATTTGTTTCTTATTCGTTTATTGATTGATTTCTGGAAATTCAAGATAAATTATACATTTTGGAGTGAATTAGTTATATCATACGTAATCTTAAGTAAGATCGTAAGATTGTCTACGCTTAATCTTAGGAATTCGGCACCTGGCAGGCGGGTTGTAGACATGTAATCATTTAGTTAATTACACTGAAGCTTAGCGTTCGATAACATAGTATCTCGTCCTTTGAACTGAGACAAGCGTCTAACTGAACTATAAATGACAATGGTCGTGTGTGCACACCCAGTTCTGTGCAAACATTATTCACTAGACAAGATCGTAGGTGCGGTCTAATTCTGTCTCTGGTGCTTTTAAACAAGTGCGCAATTTCCTTTTACCCATTTACTTGCTAATTTCGTTCTCATACATACTCGAAAACACTAAGTCTTACTATAGCGTACGTGACGAGGTACATTCCTTATATTAATTTAAATATCTTAAAAAAAATCAGTGGCGCTACAACCTCTTTAAGTCTTGGCCTCAAATTTCTAAATCTGTTTCATGATTATTTTTAAATCTAATAGGCAAGTAGGTAATCAGCCTCCAGTGCATGACACACGCCGTCGACTTTTTGGGTCTAAGACATGTCGGTTTCCTCACGATCCTCGAGCAATTGTTAAATGCGCACATAGAAAGAAAGTCCATTGGTGCACAGCCGGGGACCGAACCTACGACCTCAGGTATGAGAGTCGCTCGCTGAAGTCACTAGGCCAACACTGCTCTTTAATTTAAATATCTTATCATTTTTAAAAATGCGCAACCCAGCGATGACCATGACCTCTGTATTCTGAATAAATATTTTTTTTGTCCATAGTATTTTTAAATATAATAAAAGTTTACTATAAAATTACGCTTTATTAATAGAAAAATAATCAAACTAAATATATACCTTAATTAACGTCGTATTATTTAGTAATTAGCCTCATAGGAGGCCGCGAAAAGGAAACAGCAGCGCAGCGCTTTCGGGGATAGTTGAAACTTGAAACAGCTCAGTTGTTTTTAGTTAGTAAAGTAGGTATCCTCAGTGCTACCGAAAAGGGCCAATCTCATTACAGACATAAACTTGGATTTGGAAATGGAATTATTAAAATAAGTGGGAATATCCCACTTGTTATGACATGATCGTTTAGAAACTACAACCTCTTCCCGTGAACCTATTTATAATAGATAATGCTGACATGACACTGTATTTAAAAAAACCCTATTTTTATCCCTGAGCTTCACAACGTAAGCACCAATCGACAGAAGATAAATCAGGGATCATCAGTCATCACTTTAGTTATAACGGTGTACAACCTTAACAAAAAGTTTCGTAGTTAGGTCACTTATTTTGCTAAAACTCCTATTACTTCTTACAGATTATTATGAATGGCGAGATTCAGGGGAAAAGCCGAAAGAAATCATGGCTTCGTAACGTTATGTATTAAGTTACGTATTCAGATGTTTCCATACTTCCAATTATTCACTTACTTCAAGTACTTACTTACAAACAGATAATGTTATGTTGGAAATTCTGCTTTTCACATTCATTTTGAACTCCATATCAGAAACGATATTTTACCTCGTGTTTTACTTTCTATAAAAAAAGAAATTAAAGTAAAATAGTCTGTGCATTGTACTTAGACACTAAAAAAATGCATAATATTGCTTTGGCGAGGTCATTAGGATATTCGAATAATTAAAACGGAAACGGAAAGGAGGGTTAAGGCAGTCAACTGCCGTCACGTCATGTTCGACTCTGTAAACAAACCCAGTTTAAAAAAAAAATAAAGAACCTGTGGCGTTACAACCTTTTAGGTCTCTGCCATATATTTAATTTTTCTTAATAGGCAAGTAGGTGATCAAGGCCGAGATTGGGTCTTTTACGAATGTACATAAGTCACTGAACCAGTTCCAGCCTTTTGATCAGAGCGCGCTAACGCGAGCATTAATGACGCGTGTCGTCGGGCGTTAAAGTCGAAAAACATGAAGCGTCTCGTCGCCTCGACTTTGTATTTAGACATGCGGTTTTCCTCATTAGTTTTTTCGTCACCGTGCAAATGTTAAGCACTCATATAGAAAAAAATCTACAGCTCTATGCACGCTGTGACTAGAACGCATGACCGATTAAAAACGGATGAAAAAAAATTCAGTTTATTGATTGGCCAGCGGCGACATCTGACAAATCAGTGACGAACTAACAGACTATGACTTGTTAGTAGAACCAGTTAGATTAGGACTAACAAGTTAAAGGACCACAGAAGAAAGAAAAAAGTTGCGATCTATCACCAGAGGTCACCACCTCGATTAGCCTGCGATAATACAATATTACTACGACAATTATTGGCATAAAATGTTAATCGGTTCACTTACACATACGAAAGCGGTATAGACATAATATATTATTAAACTATTGGTTTGTGTTAAAACGAGCGAGCGAGAGTCGAGCCGAGTACACACATTTTGTGTGTAGAAATGACTTCGATTTTAATTGAAACTTTAAGATTTTGTAGAAATTGTTTATCATTCCCACATTCCTACACTGTACACCTACGTATCACGTGTCATTAATTAATTAAAGAAGTCATTTGCCCGAGACATTAGGCTTTTTGACAAACGTTTTTTACCTGTTAATTATCATTCTTAAATTACATGTACAATTATATTTCGATCAAACACATTCTCGAACATAATTAGACTCCAAGATAGTATTAAAACTAGACAGGCGAAGGCATTATTTACATGCTACGTCATCGCCGAATCGACTAATGTGTGAACGTTTTGCGTCACGTGACTGACTTATAATTATCAATATTTTTTAAATGTAGATTTTATGATAAATTAATTATTATTTACAAGTTGTTTAACTCCATATTTTTTATACCTGTTACTCTCAATGATACTTTATTTTTCTTACACATAAAAAAGGCTTCATTCGTTCATAATTAAAACACGTTTTGCGATTATTATTTTTTGTATTTTATGTAAATTATTATTATAAATTGATAGATTTAATAGAATATCTTTAAAGGCTTTCCAGTAGAATTTAGTTTTTGTTTCGATGATTTGTAGCAAGCCGTGTTGTGTCTGTGATGTAGGTATTTGGAACTATAAAGGAACGATAAGATTAATTACTATGAAATCCTCGATCTTTAAATGTTGGACCGTACCTGCCTTTCACAAAACCGACCTAAGTTAAAATCGAATAGACATGAGCCGGGTCGGGGAGGCGAACACAGCTCCAGTCGGAAACTTTTTAACTCTTCACTCGTCGGCAAATCGCTTCGACACGGCGCAGTCCTCAATTTGTTGGCTAAAAATCCTCCAAATTTAAGCAGAGCCTGAAAATAAACCATACTTTACCTTTTTTAAAATATTGTTCCCTCAAATTATGCGTAAACAACATTTCTATTCCAGTAACACGGATGAATCAAAATAGAACACAATGGCCGTAATTTATTACGTATTTTTAAGATTCAAAGAGTAAAGTTAAGATTGAAAGTCAAAAACTACGCGACGGAACATTGTACAACAATTCATAACATAAAATTAGTTTAAATATTATAATAAAAAACATACTTCTGTTCTACACCCAATGGCTCCTAATAATTATAGGATTATTAAATCATATACACGATATTATTTACGATACATAGCAAGACATCTAACTTACCGATCTCGTGGGCAAAGGTAAAGTGGGGCCGACGTACGTTTGGGGACACGCCAATAATACAGACAAAGGCGCATACATCTTTAACACAATGAACGGAACAGGCGCTGCCACCAGATCTAGAGAAGGAAGATGGAGCTTTTTTATAGTTCTACCAATTTCAAGCTAAACTTAAATTTCCCAAAATGATTTTCTTTAAATGTTCTTACCGGGATACAGCCTTGACCCATAATTCGAAGAAGTAGAAAACAGCATCTTAATTCTGGAATAAAAGTTCTGAGTCAAGTGCCAGACTCGTAGGATGGAGCCGTGGCGTGGACCTTCGACACACAAAACGGCCCTATCGCCGGCGTCCACCACAAAGCCCGTTAATAAATTATCCCTCGCCGAGTCCGCCAATACTTGCTCGTTGATTTCAGTTATTTTTCTCACAATAGTGAGGACTGTGTTCGATTCGTTGACGATACAGAATAACCTAGAAAAACTCAAGCCGAAGCCTCTCGGCTTGCAGCCGACAAATCCTATCGAAACTTCTAATGTCATCTGGGCGTCTAAAATGACTGAGGGTTGAATAATAATAATCTCTGGGCTTGAACAATTCCCGACTCCGTTGGTGTCGTTTGTGCAAAGGTCTTCGCGGTCTAAAGTCTTAAGACCCAATTGTGGGGGAAGAAGTGAACATTCTTCTCGAATTATAGCACTGATCCCTTTCGACAGCGTCGAAGTGTCCAACTTTGCTATAGCTATGGGAATGTCGAGTATTTCATTTTTGTTATTTTCTCTATTCTTTCCGTAAAACAATGACTTGTCTCGGTTTGAAGGTAAACGAGTTCCACGTATCTGAGTAATTAAAAATGTTATTATTTAACTATTAATATTTGATTTCGGATTTTTGAAATTACAACGGCACAATTATATTTTCATTATTTTTTTCTCTTCATTATAAATGTGTGCATTAAAGTTTAAATAACTACTACTTACCTCTATAATAAACGAATTATCTAAAAAGTCTGCCGTCACACGGGCAGCTGTAGAGTTATGCAATAAAACTGCGTGATGATCGCTAAAGTTCATAGTCCGCTTCATGTTTATCTGTAGTTTTTCCGATTCACGTATATCATTTCCAATATTCCATCGTGTGTATAGGTGTGTTACCCTTGAAAATAAAATAGTCCTTTGATGTCGTTTGATGCTTGGTTAAGCTTCTATTGGGGAGCCGTAGAATGTAGCAATTGTGATACCAGAAGTAGTATAGTTGCGCAACTACTAACTAGTCTAAGGCAAAGCAATTTAGTAAGGAGGCAAAAACTAACTGTCTATAAATGGTCGTCATAGAAGTTACAACAAATAGGTTCTCAAATCTTAGTAGTGTATTTTAAAATGTTAACCAATCTCCAATTTGTTATTCACGTCTTAAATATACCTTAGGTACGTTAAGTATGCACCTTGATTTTTTAAACTCCGTCGTAGGCACATTAGTGATTTTCTCAATATTCACGAAAATCATCGGCTGGTCGTCTTGCGCCGGCAGATTGTTGGTGCTGATCAAAACTATCATCTCTCCTTGGTCAACTGGACGATCTCCCACCGTTTCGAATTGTATTACTTTTCCTACCGCTGTCATTAATTTAAATCTTATATTGCCTAGATAATAATAACAGAAAATAGCCTAGAATAAAAAAATTAACTATAAACTTATTCGACAATTAGTAATACTACTATACTAATAATACGATAATTGGTAATTTATATTATATATATATATATATATATTAGTTATATGATAATTAGTACGTATAAGACGTAGAAACCAAAACGACAAATCTCTCTCTGATACAAAAAATGCACATAATATTTTAACATCAACGAGTGACGTAAGATATAACAAAACACGGCGAATAATGACCCGAAATGAAGGTGACCTTGTTCACTATAACTTTTTAAAGGATAACAACGCGGCATTTATAAAGATCAGTATCACTTCAACTCTCGGTGCTGTTACAAGAAAGAAACAGTGGCAAAAGGATCTTCTTCAATATTCTTAATAGTCTTATCCGAATTCGCGGTTCTGAAAGGAGGAAGGACAATCCAGTGAAAATAAGTAAGTCAAATAAAATCATAAGTTATTATTACCTGACAAAAGGGTATCGCCGGAGAGTTTGATTTCATATTTAAATTTCTGCACTTCTGCAGTTTTTTTCTTCTCTCTAAGAAATTTCGATTCACGTCTTTCTCTCGCCTGGTCTACTTCTTCAGGTTGTAAAAATTCTTCCTCAAATAGTGATCTACATAAAATTGTCTCATGTACCTTGTCGATGACAGCATCTTGGTGTCTTACATCTGAAATTGTTGGCCCTTATACCTATATATATCTTTATTCAAGTGGGTAACAAAGTGTACTTGGTTACCCACTTGATATTGTGTAGTCTTGTGTAGACTAAATGTGAGAGTATGAGAGCTAGTCTCTGTTATCGTGTTATTTTCAAAACCAATTATGGATCTTACAAAATATAACCGACAATAAAAGCACAAAAAAGTATAAGTTAACCATGTTTCTTATTTCTATTGACTAAGCTTAAGCTTGTATTTGAAGCCAGAGAATGAATACCGGTACAAATTTAGGTTCTGGAGCTCAATTTAGATTAAACCATAAAAGGTACCATATAGGTTTTCGGTACGGTGACTATTACGGTTCTGATTCGGTTTGGGTTTCAGTATATCGGTCATGTAGTGTGCAGTTTAGATGTTTTAAAAGTGGGTATACTCTCTCTTAGGTACCTATTGTAAAGTATTGTGTGTATAATGTATATTGTAAATTTCATCATCATGGAATTATGTGGTAGCAGTGACAATAAAGAAAAACTAAAAGTATGTATTCGAAGAGTTTTAAAACGTAAGTATTTCTTTATACATTACGTTTAATATTATGATTATTCTAAATATAATACATTTATTAATGATTATATTTTTAAAACTGTTCAGATTGATCTACAATTTTGTAACACGTAATACTTTATCTTACTGGCGAAGAACGTAAAACTAAAATATTGTTTCAATATTTAATGAAACGCATATTTTGTTGCAGATAAAACAAGGCTGGTACAGAACATATAGTTTCGACGAAAAGAACACCGTCGTAGAGGATAAAAACTGCTCATAAATATAGTAGCGTCACAAAATTACAAAATTATTACATAAATCAAACAATTATAAATTCTGCATAACAAACATTATGGCTAATCAGACATCATCATCATTTAATTCTTATTCGAATATAGGAATACACCTGTATTCGAATGAGAATTCTCGTCAACAACAGGTTTCTTGCGTCGGCTAACTGTGGCGCGTCAATGTTTCAATTGGTTTGTGACGTTTTACGTACAATTTTAATGGTTATAATGTTATGGTGTATATGTCACTGGCCTTAATATGTATGGCCATATTTAAATAACTAACTTATAGTTATTTAAATATGTTCGACGTTCTGGTGGACAGAAGAACTGTGTCCAGTTTGTGTTTCCACCACACCAACTTATTTTCTATTTAAGATCATTTATATAATAAATAAATAAAAGTAATCGCGGTGACTAAAAAGTAAAAGCTAATAGGTAAAAGGGAATGAGATGTAGATCTCAGTTCGTAGGAACTAAGCTCAAATTTCGGGGCGGCAACCTATTGTAACAAATTAATAATATTTTTTTTTATGATGTAGTTCTTGTAAAATACAACCTGACCCGTCTTCAGAATACAATGGAGCAAATAAAATCAAAAAGATTTTAAGTATGAAACTTACTGCTGTTTCCGACAAGGGTTTTACTCCTGTTTGTGGCCCTTAACTTAAACGGTTTAACTTTTAGTGAGGACTAAGAAGACTTTATATCTCTTCATAACAAACATTAATTCACAATAATTACCACAAAAAGTTTATAGGTCACTATCACTGTTAGAGTAATTGATTAGTATGAATATACTCTACATATCACAATTTTTTTATATATAAGAGATCGGCATCTGCGCATGGACGAATTACATAATTTCGATCACGGCGTTATTAAGGAAACGATAATACGAATAACCTTAATTTCAGATTGTATTGTATATTGCCTTTAATTAAATTTTAATTTTATTGCTTAGACATTAACACGAATCATGTGTCAGCATAGATTTCGTTTTATTATCGTGTCAAAATTGTCTCAGGGTATGGTTCGTATATATTTAGCACACGTGAGAACCTATCATAATATATAATATAAATATAGGAATAAAATCCTGAGCTACAAACCTGAAACAGCTCGAGGCGTATCAAAAAGGCCGTCCAAATATGAAGATGGTATAAATGCTTCCACACTCTGCCAAATGAGATCTTGTAAGAAAACCACTACGCTTTGTTCTGATTCAATTACTCCAGCGAAATATCTTTTCTCTCCAAATTTCAACTCTGGTAAATATACCTCTAAATTCTTGTCATTTTTTGCACTAAATAAACAATTAATGATGATAATCTATTTGTTTGGATATTCGTTACACATTATTTTGATGATTAAATGAGAATTTTTCAATAATGATTGAATGGAAATTAATACGTAACATAAAAAACAACTATAGGTACTTAGCACCGAGTGAACCAAATCCCATGACAGATGTGACCGTAGCTGTGTGACTACGCAAATCCGCCACTCGGACTGGAAAGGCATGTCGTATCGAAAAAGCGAACCATCGTCTTTCCAAAAACTGCCAAGTTCGCGCCCATCCGTATTGCATTCCACACCATACCTAAACATTGACTTATACTTATAACAACAAACGGACGAAGTTTTAGTCAGCACTCGGCAGCTGCTGCAGCGGCACCGCACATTATTCGTGCGCTGCAGGGTTACCTTGCATTCCTGACCTGACCCAATGCTTTTACTACAAATATCACATATTATTCTTTTAAATTTGTAAAGACACTCTTATGTACTCATGGAAGCAAAAAGTTAAATTATCCGTGCCCGTGCCGTACCTTTACTACGTGAGGCCACACCAATACATCGACGTCGAACGATTGACCAGGATACAGCTGGTACTGAACTTTCACAGCCTGATAGCACGTTCCCAAATCCAACCAACCTTCATTACAATCGTGCCATACTTCAAGTCCAATAATTTCGATTACAAAAGTAAGGGTAAATGTGCTTTTGCAAAATCCATCCAAGTTGGCTACAATACTCTTATTCGGAGTTCCTTTATTCATTTTGGTAGAAATGCGAAAATATAGGTACAGAAGTATTCTAGTGATTAGTGCGCAATGATCATTAATCATTTCAACCTTGTGTCAATATTTGTCTATAGACGATTATAATAATATATAACTATAGACTAAACTCACAAAAAATATTCCGGTAAGCTATTATGGTCTTTTTAAGTATAAGTTTTCTGATTTTTCTATATACATACAGTATTTATTTATTATACAAAATAATAACTAAAATACATACAGTATTTATTTATTATACTAAATTATATGACATTAAATTCAGTGTGTGAACTTAATTCTCTTAGGTAAATACTAATTACATTATTTAATAATTTTCAAACAATTTATTATTATCGCACAAAAAGCATGACGGCTAACAGATGACAAAATCTTCCAGCCCATGCTGCCTACTGACAGTTGCCACCACATCTTCTTGTCATTTGTATTAGACAATAATTTTTTTAATTATGCTGTTCTTGCGCATTGAAGTATAAAGTCCGCGCCACCATAGAAATCCCGTACACGCGGGGCTGTCAGCGCTAGAAAAATGTTGCCGACATAATTCTCTTTAATTACCTACCCATGGGAGTGCCATGCTGTTGCTTTCGTGCTTCAGCCAAATGGGCAGGCACGACCGGGGCAGTACCACTGTCTGATTGAAAACCGGCGTGAAGTGATGCTATAGGTTCATCTTATTGTACTCGCGTTTCTTGCGGTGAGTGAGACTCCCGAAACCTCTGACTGCACGTAGGTATACTGCGATGACCAACCGCGATTCTACCCATAGCGGAAATGCCGAAACTAACCGACTTATTGAGCAGGTCCATGGTTACAGATTCCCTGCACGAAAAGGTCCCGTTCGCCGAAATCGAGATTCTTAGTGACTTTAACGCCCACCATGTCGACTGGCTCGAGTCTGATATTACCGATCACGCGGGGTCGAGCAGGCCTGATGGCATCCCCCCAATTGTGCTGCGTACTTGTGCTTCAGTCCTAACGCGCCTTTTGCGGTACCTGTACTCGCTCGACACGGTTCCGAAGTGCTGGAAGACCGCTTCAATACATCCGGTCCCTAAAAAGGCGATCGCTCTGATCCGTCCAACTATCGCCCAATAGCTTTAACCTCCAAAATAATAGAATCCATTATTAATGGCCAGCTCTTAAGGTATCACGAGCGACCATGACGAAAGCCATACTCTCCATAGCTAAGCAGCAGGTGACCGTTCAGACTAACATGGCCGACTTATCAAATTTAGTTTATTTTTCGCCGCGCGACTTCTTTGGTGGCGCAGACTTTAGTTCGTCCACAGTTATTGTACCTTTAACAAAATAACGGCATTACTGTCCAGTCATAGTGCGAAGCTCATTGCGATTTTATTTTGTATTTGTTATTTAATTAATAGTTATCATGCCGAAGAGAACTCAAAGAAACGGAAGAAACATTGTTTTAACAATACATACTTTTTGTGAACAAAACAACATCAATATGCCCTTTTAATTCCTGCAACGGCTAACAGTTATTGCATGACAGGTAAACAGGGTGACCTCACGTTTAACATTCTACCCAATTTTATCAGAGACTAGATTGTCTAACTTTGAGTAACTTGATTGAGAAAACGTGAATCCTTCTCTCCATGTCATGTTAACGAAGAGAAAAATATTTAGCAAATTTAATAGTATGTTGTTGACAAAAGTAAGTAAGTTTAAAGTATGCGGATAGAATATTACTTTTATGAAACAATGGTCAAATAAATACCTATATCACTTAAAGTTTGTTTTTGCTTCTGGAAGTCTGAAGTAAACCGTAAGCATGATTATGAAAGAAGGTGAAGTATCTGCTTCCGGACCCCAAAAATTGCCACGCCAAGAAAATAACGTTAAAGAAAATTATATTTTATACTGTCCGAAGTAGTAGTATATTAGATTTCACGTATTTCGTCAAAAAGAGGCATCGACTTAGAATAAACTCTCAGTTGAAATAAACCATAACATAATTAATGCTCGTGGTGGTCGAACACTTTGTGGAATATTATACGACGTTTTCGGTTCAAAAAGGAATTTATATGGAAAGACACGATTTTGTAGCCTTAATTACAAGTGATTAATTAACATTATATGTGATAATTACAATGAACGTAGACGTGTTGTTATTCTGCAAGAAACCTACATTCACTCATTCTATACTGTGGATTAATGTTGGAGTAAACAATTAACACGAAAAAATTGATTTCATATTTTAATTCATTTAAAAAAATTAGACTTTCATAAATTATAACAAATTGCTGTGTTTATTATAATATTAAAAACGGCACACTTTGATAACAACATTTTTGTATTCATTAAGATATTATATTATTTAAACATTTCTTTCAAATTATATTATTTCTATTATAAAAAGAGCCGTGTAGGCCTAGTGGCTTCAGCGTCCGACTTTCATTCCTGGGTTAGTTTAAACTCCCATCACCAACAGCTAGAGGTAAAGTAACTGTAATATATATATAGAATTTCGCTGACAGAATCAAGCAGGAGAGAAGGGGTAAAAACGTAATAATTAATATTTAATATGGGGCCCGTACTCTGTTACTCTAAATAACGATTCCAATGATGAAACCAATAATAAGCATGATAATTATTGACGACGCCAACGTGTGTCAGGTTAGCTAATCCTAAACAGACCATCGCCATTTGAAAATTAATAATTTTATGCATAAAATAACAGCAAACTGCTTCATCTATGTTTAGATGCTAATTCGACACAATATATTGGCGTAGTCTGTTTGCAATTGTCGTGAAAACCCAAGACAATTCAAGGGTGGCAATATTGAATTTTGCGGTTTGTCATTTATTAACTTCGTAGTTCGTACTTCGTACTTCGTTCCGTAGCAGGCATGGCAGTACCGCAGTAATGCGAACCAACATAATTTTTAATTCTTATTTGCTATGCGATATGCATCATTTTATTTGTTCACAAAAATTATTATATTTTTAAGTTGAATATAACAAAGAGTGAGTTTTATGCAGTGTAATCCAGAAAAAAACACGTTTGAGAATAAGTGATATTAACAAGTTCAACCGTTTCTAAATTCTCGATTATTTAGTAACAATGACGATAAATACACTATGTCCGATGGCGATACGATATGCTGTTATAAATATTTCACAAAATGTGTGAGTATAAATAATAGACTTAACGAACGAACTTAACGCCTTATTATTTGAGTAGGTTCAATAAATTTATTTACTTATTTAAAATTGCTTTGTCTAATTCTACTAATTTCGACTGAATTATTTTTTTCTTTCTTTTACCAACAAAAATAATATTCTTGCTTATACTCTTATATAGTTAAAAATAATTTACTAAGGTTTGGTACATATTTGCAGGAAAGAGAAACAAATGTATGGCCCATAATAAACATAGGAAATTGTCTTTATTTTTTTATTAAAAAAATTATTAGTATTAATTACATATGTTTTCTGCTCAAAAATCATGTTTTTTATAATAGGTTTTGGTCATTTTCAGGCAAATTCAATATTGTTTACGAAGGAATATCAGCATGAACAACTTCAGCTTATCTGTAAATACAACAGTCGATAAAGAAGATGTGAAAAGACACAGCAAACACATGAAGGTCTGGTGGGATCCCAAAGGCAAGATGGGAGCACTTCATTCTTTTAATATGCTAAGGTACAGAACCTTACTATAAGACGTAGACTCATTTTAGTTTATATAATTAATAGCCAGCCGCTTCACTTAACTGTTAAATTTGAAATGTGTATTGATAATTAATATAAGCATTATTTCTTAGAGTTCCATTAGTAAGAGATGGTCTTGTTAGTGAGCCAGAGAAGGATAAAACTCTTACACCTTTGGCCAATAAGACTATTTTAGATGTTGGCTGTGGTGGAGGAATATTATCAGAGGTATTATTTTTAATAATTGACAATTACAACAATTTAAACAGTACAATTAATCTGGCATAGTTATTATATCAGTAGTAGGTACCACATTTGTTAATTTTAATTTGATGTAAGTGTCAATCAAGGCATTATTTATAGTATTCTTACTGCCTTATCTCACATTAAAATTGTTCTACCTACTCATGCGCTACTTTTCTGCATTATACTAATTATTTTTTTATGAATTTAATTAGATTAAAAATTAAAATATAAAAACATTTTAGAAGTAGATTTCTCATATTTGTTTAGTCAAAGAACTAGTGAAATATATTTTAGGTTTAAATTTGGGCAAAAAGAGAACCTGTTTAAGGATCTGCGTACTCTGTTTCAGGCTTTGGCCAGAATAGGCGGCTTCGTTACGGGAGTGGACGCCAGCGAACAGTTAATCGAGTGCGCCAAACAACACAGTGACCTCGACGAGAAGATTGCCCACAATAAGCCCACATACTTCTGCTCCACCATCGAGGACCACGCCGAGGAATACCCGAACCACTACGACGCGGTGGTGGCCTCTGAGATCATCGAGCACGTGGCCGACAAAGAGCTCTTCGTGCGCGCCTGCGTGGCCTGCCTCAAGCCAGGAGGCCGCATCTTCATCACCACGCCCAATAGGAGCCTCTGGACCCGGCTGCTGGGCATCTACGTGTCCGAGTACGTGCTGGGCACCTTGCCCAAGGGCACACATCAGTACCACAAGCTCACCACGCCTAACGAGGTCTCCTTTCTGCTCGAGAGAAGTACGGTTTACTCCTGAAGTACTCACAACCCTTACAGAATAGTTGAGGTTGACCTTTATGATATTTTTCAGATTGCTGTCAAGTGGAGCTGCTTCGCGGCATCATGTTCTTCCCTTTCTTTAACAAGTGGACTTGGGTTAATTCTACTAAGCTCATGTTCGCCATGCAGGCGATCAAGTTAGAACCCGAACGAAAATAAGCTCCTACAAGTGTTGTTGTACTAATATGATAATAAAGTTGTTGCTGTTATTTATTCGTTTTAAGAACGGTTACATGACTTCGACATTATCGTGAGGATTAGCGACACGCCCGAACTTCGCTGCCCACACAGGGCCAATATAGAACATTAAGTATAAACCCATGGCACTCAAACGCTAAGAATATACTCATTAAAATTCTGTCAACACAATGGATACACATTACACAATCATATAGACCATGCTCTCTATGATTTGTACAAATCAATGTTCAAGATGCAAATCCTAAAAAACATCTTACTTGAGACAATAGGTATGGTTAAAAGACAATAAATCTTTTTATATTTCTGGTTATAATTTCTACAAAAAAATCCTTGTAGTGGTGTAAGAAATATTCTATATAAAAGATTTACCACAACTTATCCGAAAGCCCCCAAGCCCTGAAATTGTACAGAAACTCCAACAATATAATAAAACAATACATTAACTATAAAACATTAGATTGCATTAAGCGCACTACAAAGGAAGAAAAAAGTATCATTTGGAATAGTTTTTAATCAGTTTCAATAGAACTACGTCCATCACTCAAATGTTTAATCTCATTAAAAAGTTTAAGGGTATCAGAACTGGTAATAGGACATATAGGGATGAATTTGTACAGCCACTTTTAGATAAGTTATTTGATAGTAACAATTTACTTGACGCGGATTCATTACACAATTTTTTTAATAATACTTAACAATAAAAATCCTCAATCAAGATATTAATTGGATATTTTTCATGGTCTGAATTTTTAATACGTATACTATCTAGGACAAATGATTTTCCATATTTATTATTAAAACATCTATCTGAATCTATAGGCCTCTTGGATAACGATTAACGCTAGTGGCGCGGCGTTGTGGCAGATTCAGATTTCAGTGTGGCAATATTGCGCAATATAATTGATCGTCTCGGGGCCGCCTAACTCAAATGCTTGTGTCATTGACCAGATACTATCCTACCTATCCTAATAATATGTAGGTGATTAGTTAACGTGTCGTAATTAATGATAACAGTGATGTGTTCTGACAAGAATAGATACGGTCGTGTGTTCTGAAAAGAACAGTTTCATCGTTGTCGTAAGACACGGTAATATGTCCTGACAAGGACAGTTGTTAAATGTTTTTGTCGAGAAACAATAATATATCCTGAAAAGGACAGTTGTTAAACGTTTTCGTAAGATACGATCATATTGTTCTGAAAAGAACAGTTTATTAGCGTTATCGTAAGGCTACGATATCGAAGTGTTCTGAGAAGAACACGTTCGTACGCATCGACGGCTGCGCGCAGAAAAGGACCAACTTTTTGCCGCGCCGCATTTTGGCACCACATGTTAATACTAGTTGTAAGTGTAGGATAATTTTTGGGTATCACTCTGCGCCCGACTGCCGACGGATTGTGCGGACGTCTGCTCCAGTGCCATCTCGCTCACTCCTTGTGAGTCATCGCCGCTTGCCGCTGTACAGTGCGCACGCGCTGTCCGACTGCTGCCTTGCTGCCTGCTGCCCTCTCATTGGTCGCTTCGCGTCTTCGGTGATTGAACATCGCGTTTGAAGGCTGCAATTTATGAGCGCGGGTTTACCTGCGGCCGTCCGATAGCCACCTAACGGTGCCAAACGGTTATTTGACGGTTAACGCCTTGTGCGGGTGCTTTGTCCGGGGTGCATACACCGTGCCTTTTTCAAGGCGCGAATCAGCCCCTCCGCTTCCTCCAAGTCCTGTGCGCAGCCGGGCCTCCTAGTAGGCACTTATTAGGGAGTAGGTACTCCAACTACTCTCTTGAAACCGGCTTCAATCAGGTCCACTGTTGGACGGGTCCTGTCACATCCGTAGGGGCTCTGGTTAGGTCGGTGACAAACCTCACCTCCGCTATCACCAGCGGAGACATATACACCTTAGGGCAAATCACAGCTTAGGTACTCACACGTTAGACGTAGGTACACACTCGCCGCCAAACTGTTTGGCTTCCCGCCTACAGGATGGCGTCCGAGGATCAACCCCCCGACGATTTAAAAATATTCTTGAAATATTTAAGAGAGCGACATCCTGATATTATCATGGAATTTTACGAGTCTCAAAGTGCGGGCTCACCGCGCTCGCCGTCTCCGACGCCGTATAGGACGATGAAAAATGCCTCCGCGAAGGCACCGCGTAATAATAGTATAACTTCACCCGTTCAAACCCGCCCTCGCTCGCGCTCGCGCTCACCACTCTCTGAAGTGGGAAGCGTAAGCGATGAGGAGACGGAAAATTTAGCGCGTCCGTTGTCGGCAATGTCGGCCCAATCCGCTCCGGCGGAAACGGTTGACGAAGCCGTATTATCGTCATCTTCGGAATCCGACGGATTTCAAACCGTCAGTCGAAAGAAAAAGCGTTCGGCCAACGGCGGTCCACCCGCCAAAAGGCCTACCCAGCCGTCAAACCCTCCGAAGAGGGATTTAAGTTCCCTCTTAACGGAGAAACCTGCGCCCTCCGCCCCCGCGGACCGCACTAAAACCCCTCCGCCCGTTTATGTTAGGGACAAGGGCGTATGGCCCACCCTTTCAAAACTTCTCGACACAAAGTCGATTAATTATTAAGCCCGAACGTTGAGGGACAACCTATGCATACAGGTGTCTACACCTGAGCACCATCGCTTCCTTACCTCATACCTTCGTTCCGAAGGTATCGGAGGACATACTTTCCCCCTGCCCGAGGAGCGCGTCCTTAGGGTAGTTATTAAGGGCATCCCGAAGGAAATAGACTCCGGGGTCGTCCAAACAGATTTGGTCGAGCAGGGATACTCCGTAAGGGATGTATTCCGAATGCTTAATAGAACCACCAAGGAAGAGTACGATATGGTACTCGTAGTTCTAGACCCTACCCCGAGTGGGAAAAAGATTTTTAACCTTCGGGAGTGCTGTAAGCTCTCGGGGTTGAGGGTTGAAATTCCCCTCAAACACTCTTTTACACGTCATCGCTGTCAACTGTACGGGCACGTAGCCCGTAACTGTTTTGCGAGGGCGCGGTGCGTCAAGTGTTTAGGCGATCATGGCACCTCGGACTGTAAGCGGACGCTTCCGTGTGCTGAGCCGCCGGCGTGTGTGCTTTGCGGGCAACATGGGCACCCTGCGAATTATCGCGGTTGCCCTAGAGCCCCCAAGGCGCATAAGCCGCCGTCTAGGCGCATGGTGGGACGCGACGCGGCCCGTCGTGGCACGGGAGCTAAGACCACATACGTGCCGGCCCCACCTCCCAAAATTAGTCCCTGGGCCAAGCCCCCCGTCACGGAGGGCCCTCCCCAACTCAAGTCAGAAGCCTTCCCGCCTCTGCCACTCAAATCGGCGACCGCAGCGCCTTCCCATGCCCCTGCGCCGACCCCTATCATAAAAGAGAGGCCCATTATAAATGCGAGCCCTCCTACTCAAGCCCTCAGCCCTCCCGCGAAGGCATCTGAGGAGTCAGGCAGCGTCCGCAACGCTTTCAATCTTGCGTTTAGCGTAATAGGCGCTATAGACTTGGACGCTCTCGTCGTCTTCGCGGAGGCGTTCAAATCCGCTAAAAATGCGTCCGCTAACGTAGACGTAATAACCGAGCACGCCCTGCTCCTTAAGTCCGTGCGGCAATTTGTAGAATCCGGCACACCGCAATAGTTACGACCATATTATCCCTTCCCGACATAAAAGGCTGTCAGGAGGCCCAGACACACATACACACTAACGGATTCGGATGATCCAATTACCGTAGCTAACAATAAATTAAAAGCCGCCCGCGCGGCCAATCGTAATAATCAAAAAAGCAAAACACAGATTAGGGTAAAAAACCGCCTTCACCGGGGAAGGCGAGGACCTTTACTTCGCACTTCGCTCACTCCAGTGAGTTTCCGTCCTGCCCTTCAGGCGATTGACCACCCCGTGACGGCCCAAGTCGAGGTTCGAGTCTCACAGGAGACGCCCTTGCGCTAGTCGCGGGATAAAACGCCCATTCTGGCCGAGCTACCCTCGCCAAACCAGCCCGAGCTGAGCTGTAAAGGCCCATAGCGAGATTCCATTCAAAAAAAAATAAAAAAAATTCATTCCATCTTCACCTCTTGTCTACAAACAATTAGGGAGTTTGAACCAATCAACTCTAAAGCAAACATACCTAAAGAACATCCCTAAAAATATATAACCTACCTATACAGGGCGGGGATTAAAATGATTAATTTCACGCTGTTCCTTTCTTTTAAAATACTATGTTACTTAAGAAGACTTATTAGTTTTTGACCATTCTTTCGATTGGCATCATAAAAGTAGGGGTGTTTTTTTTACATTTAAGTCGGTTCGATTTCCAGACGAGGCAAGTAATTTTTAGAAAATCTTTGAATGCAGAATTACTAACTTTTAAAAATAACATAGTCTTCTTTTAGTAAAATACCCTATCTACGATATTTAAGGTACTTTCCCTTCTTGTCCCATAACTTTGGGACGCCTTGTAAGTATACCTCATTTTATTTTTGTTAAAAAAAATTTTTTCTTTATTTATATTTGTTACATATAAAACAACAATAATCTTTGAAAATATTACTCTAGGAATATTTGAAAAATCATACAAATTTCGGAAATTTCATATATTTTTTTATTCTAATATTTTTATTTGTTACCATTTATAATGAACGGCTATAAGGTACAACGGTAATAATATTTAGTAACATTATGTAAAAAAACAAGTTGCCGTACATTAGTTTCTGAATTCTGATCTTACAGCAGTAATAACTCGGTAAATCCTGAAATTTCGATAAATATTTATTTACACAAATATTAACTATAATTTTTGGACGGCATAATTATTTCGGTGTTTTCGGTGTTTATTTCATACGGTGTTTTTTCGATATTAATTCAAAATAAGGTGAACAAATAAATATTTTTAATCAAATAAATTACAGCGTATTTGGGACATAGAAAGGTAAGTTTTCACCAAATTTCGTTAAAAAAAAATATTT